GATACAATTGATCCTCAATTCGAGAGGAGGATCGTCTCTCCCAATCTCTAGATTGTGGATTTAGAGCCCAAGACCCAAAGAAGACTCCAAGAGAACAACTAAAATCATGTATGCCCTAACCCTAGCCTCCCATGTTCTTTAAATATAACTCTTCCTAATAAAAAACTTCCTAACATAAACCAAATTCAAATTCCCTTCCCAATGCATTAGCCTCCCTCTCTCTCTCTCTCTCTACTTGTCGCCCTAGGGAGCCCATGACCTTGGGCGAACACTTAAGGAGGCGGCTTATTCCGCCTCTGGTAAAACTGAACCGGCCACTCCTGGGCCGGTTTGGTTGGTTCAGGAATAATCCCCGTAACAGTTTTATCCAATGATTAATGAGATAATTCAATGATTGTTCTCTAAGCCTCCTCTGCTTCCAAAGTGTTTGGCCAAGTTCCCTTAAGTCCCCCCCCCCACACACACACACACTCTCTCTCTCTATTTTTGTTGATGCTGAGAGTTATGCTTTCTCCTAAACTATATGACTTCGGTGATTATTCAAAGAGAACATTGATTCCTTAGAGATGATGATTGAAGTCAAAAGAAATTTAAGTTCGTTATTTTTCATGAGATGTTTCGTGCAAAGTAATGGAGTGTTTCGTGCAAAGTAATAAAGTCCCCCCCCCCCCCCTATTTTTGTTGATGTGTTATGCTTTCTCCTAAAGATTCAACTATGTCACTTCGGTGATTATTCAAAAAGAACATTGATTCCTTAGAGATGATGATTCAAGTTGAAAGAAATTTAAGTTCGATGTTTTTCATGGGATGTTTCATGCAAAGTAATAAATTCTATAGGTGAACTGAATTCACCAGCTTCATTTTCTTTTTTTTTTCAGCTTCTTCCTTTTCCTCCATCTCATTAAAGAAATCAAATCAAGCACTTCGTTACTTGTTCACCTCTGCAGCTCAAAGGTACAGCAACGTCAAGCTCCACTTAAGCTTCCTATATTTCAGGAAAGCCTATAGCCTCCTCGTACTCCATTCCCTAAATCCTCCAGTTCTTGCTTTCTTCCACTGCACCATCCCCTGGAAAGCATCATCTTGCTATTTTGCTGCAAATTGTATTCATTGATGCTGACACCTGATACATAAAATGATAGTTGAAATTCCGAAACAGAGACACTGATAATTTTTCTGCTGCCGAAAGCTGACATTTGACTTCTGTTCTAATGCACTATACTGCTGTTTTTTTACTAATCTAGCCTTGTAAAGTTTCCGTTTTCTGCCTCCCTTCCTTCCAAGGTGTATGTATAGCTGTCCTTCTCTCCTCTCAGTTGGTGTCAAGATCACTTTTTCCAACTCTGTTAGTGCCAAAAGTCACTCCTCCATGGTCTTTGTTGATGCCATAAATTCTGCTTTCTTCTAAAAATTCAACAATGTGACAGCTACAATTATTCTATCAAATTATGGCGGAGCAAACATCATTTCTTGGACTTGATGATTCAAGTTGAAAGAAAATTTAAGTTCAAATTTTTTATGAAAAGTTACAATGGAAAAGAAACAAACTCCAAAGGGGTATCAAAGTTGTTATTTTCTTTTTCTTTTTCTTTTTCTTTCTTCTTCATCTTATTACATGCACTCAAGCCCTTCCAGGTACAGCAACTCACTCAAGCTTTCTACACTTCAGGAACTACAAGCCTACAAACCCCTCACCATCGCCTATAAATACCAAAACTGCTGCTTTCCTCCACCGCACTGTCAACTAGAAAGCCTGCAACTTGTATTCACTGACGTGATGGCTGTCACTGAAAATGATCGTCCAAATTATGAAACATAGATGCTGATGTTTTTTCTATTACCGAAAGCTGCAATTTGGGTTATGTTCCACTGCACATTACTGTTGTTTTTTTCTTCTGCTCTAGCCTTGTGGATTGTCCACTTTCTGATTCAACCCGTTCCCTCCTTCACATGCTCCATTAATTTTTGGAAGATGTTCAAACCTTCTCATGTTTGGCAGATCATTTACTCCCTGTTTTCATCATTTACTCCCTGTTTTCCTTTACAAATCATCCCATACCACACCAAATCAAATTTCCCCAAAATTACAAACTATAAAACTTGCCTAACTTTCCTTCAAATCTTTCTTAATCATACACCCAATTATTTCCTAAATCTATACACTACTTCTTTCGTAGAACGCATCACCTCCCGACACATATTCAGATCTAATCTACCCATGAGCCACTATCTAAAAACATCCTTACTCCATTACAGCTACTTAACATGAGCCCCACCCGTAATCTTCAATTCCTTTCACTTACTCCTTTCCAGTATCTAAAACACAGCCCAACAAGTCCATTTCAACAGAAATACTTTCCTGCTGCCTTCCTTTCCAGCACCCAACACCGCCTTGATTCTCCACCCAATGCAAGTCCACCAACCCTTCACTGCATCCTAAATTATGTTTAAGAATTTTTTTTTGTAACCATGGGTTCACATTCACGGAAATCCTGTATGCAGCTGCCACAAACATCCACTCTTGTTTTTAGCCAGCTTCTCTGCATCATAGTGGACTCCTAACAATAGCAAATATCTCATCAAAACCCTCAAAAATAGATGGATAAAAATATCATGAGAGAACTCATTATCATTTAGGGATGTAACTCAAATTAAGCAGGTCAACGAGTCATTAAATCAAATTGGATTGAGCTTGTATATTGTATGAGCTTTAAACTATGCTCGAACTCAATCTCGTGGCTCATTAAGCCGAGCTCATAAGCACATAACAAAGTTGATCTCCAGCTGACTAGACACAGTTAAATCCCTTTAATACCATTGAGCTAGCTATAAACCAACATCTCTTTGAAGATCATATCTCGACTATGCCAATGCTGGTCGTTTACATATGAGCCACTCATAATCATATCACTAGACCTATTCTCTTTCCCCTTGAAAAGAAATCCATGGTCAACCAATTCAAAAGGTTGATATATTTGACTCAATATTTAATTCAGAAATCTAGTTTTTCTCCTCCTCCATTGGCCAAATCACAAGGTCCACTTATTCCTTTAGCCCCACAATTTTCAAATCATGTGCCACGCCTTTATGATCTTCTCCTTTATGGGGATGTTCCTTTTGCTGATATAATGATGAGCCACTATCAGATTATGAAATGATTCTTGATGACGACTATCAATTGTCAAAACCTAATATGATACATGAGTGTGCTCTGGTAGAAGAGCTTGATAAGCAGTTACCTGCAGATACTGAAGATTGTTTCTTTGAGTTACCACTGGGTGATGTTCCGTGTTAGATATTATCATATGATCTTCTTCAACTTTATGAGGTAAATACTGCTCTCAACTTATTTTCCCGTACATCAGAAAACAAGTATTGATCCCACTTTGCCACCACAGGCACTGCCACATACTAACTGTATCAATTGATCTTCATACTGTATATCCTGTTTGATATGACGTTGCAAGAATATGATGTTCCGCAACACCCAGTGCCAAAGCCTCCGAACTTGTTTGTGCTTATGGATATCTCAAAACATTCTATGATCCGCACTTGAGTTTCCCTTCCACCATGATCGGCTTGTTCAACACTTCGTAGAAGTGTTCTTTGTAGCCCAAGTAATTGATGCACAAGCATTACATGCCATTGATATTCTTAGATCAGATGAGAACAACTTTGCTATTTTATGTCATGCTTTTATTTTATGTATTAGGACATGATAGTCTGTTATTTTCTTATGAATATGTAATTTTTTAGTACAGTATACCCTCATATATAAAAAAAGCTTAGTGTTTAAATAAGGTTCGCGATGATTAATGAATAAATCAATGGTTGCTCTCTATGCCTTTTTGACACAATTGAAAACTCTAAGAATGCAGATGTAAACAGCATCTATGATAGAATGATTGGAACTCATTTTGAAGAAATAGACGAGAAGTACAAAATGGAATACCCAGATGACCTGTCAGTCTGATCAGTATGAATTCCAACTAGTAAAAAGTCTCCCAATGCTTTAGCAAGCCGCAATATCTATAAAAAAATAATGTTTTTCAGTTAGTCCAAAAGGTTGCTTAGATCACAGAGGGAAGCTAAAAATTCAAACTAAGAAAACAAATTCAAGAAGTTCAGGTATGTCAGTATTGATAAATGCAAGTAGCTTACTTGTACAGAATTTTGTACAATAAACTCAAAGAACTTCAATAATTGCATGCCTCCCAACGCTCACACATAAACTCTTGACACAGAATCACAAAAGGAGTTACTATTCAAATGTATTTTCCATAGTGGTTCTGGGAAATTGTTACTTATTTTCCTGTAATCACCCTGAAAATGTTTATATTAAAGTGTTGTAGTGGCAAAAGTTCTGCTCCACTTTATTCAGGTGAACATTTGTTCTTTTGTATTCAAGGACATAACTTATATCACTAACACTTTATAGAAAGTAGAAACCTTTCACAGGCTGACTATAGCAAAATAAATTGACATTTTTAATAATCACAATGGCAAAAGAAATTTTCCAAGGAGCTCCAGGTGCCATCATAACAATCAGAACCGATTAAGAACTCAACCAGTTAGAACAAACAAGCAGCATATTTGAACAGAATCTAGGATAGTACTAAGAGCACGTAATTTCCTATTCAGTAGGACATGGAAATCTATAAAAAAGGTGTAGAGGGTGAAGAGAGAGAGAGAGAGAGAGAGAGAGAGAGAGAGGAAGGGAGAGTAATTAGTAATGGGAAAAATGTAGTGCTAAAACAAATTAAAGGAATGCATCCCAACTTTTAATAAGTGAACTAAGTTATTGAGAGTTGTAGTAGACCTATCCAACTCATATTGAGCGTGTATGGGGTAGATTTTGGACACTGCAAAGTATACATGCATAAATTACATATTGTTGCGTGCGAGAATATACGCGGCGGTAGAGTTTGTAAATTCGCGTCCTAGCGTTGCACGAGTATTTCACACACAAACAGAAAAGAGAAAGTGAACACCAAGAGTTTTTACGTGGAAAACCCAAAAAGGGAAAAAACCACGGGGCCTCGCCCAGTTGTAAAGTTCCACTAGTGATTTTGCATATTACAGATGCTGATTCGTCCCACAAGTTGGGATAATCAGAATACAATTTGTTTCTCCCAGTAAGTTTACAAAATTCTGCGAATTCCTGGCGTTTCTCGAAAATCCGGCAGAGTTCCGGCGTCTTCAGGCGGCAGGAAGAGTTTCGGCGGTGGTCGAGGAGGTGAGGAATCTCCTTTTCCCCTTTCTCCTTCTCCTTCTCTTCTTCTTCTTCTCTCTCTTCACTTGAGTCCCTTTGGTGTAGAATGAGGGCTCTATTTATAGTTTTTCTGGAGTGGCATAGCCCGTAAGTAGGCGTGAGATCAAGGGCAAACAGGGGGTGGTTTGAATGGACGGCCGATATCGAATCCTTTGATCATGCACCGTTCGTTGGACATTTGAAGGCCTTAATGATGTCGGAATTTGATGATCTTGGGCTCGTTGGATACGTCTTGTCGAGCCGTTCGATTCGAGTATAAGCTCGTCAAAATCGGAGACCGTTTGGTAACTCAAATTGCGGTTTGAATCTTCCAACAGTGCTTTGAACCCATGATTCAGACTCATTTGGGCTCGGATTGAATTTATCTTGGTATCGTTGGGTTCGTATTTCCGAGACGCTCGGTTTGACTATAAGATTGCTGAAATCGGAGTTCATATGCTCCCAGAATTAATTTTTGAAGTTTCTGAATTGATTTTGCCTCGAGATTCGTTCCCAATCAAGATTATTTTGTGATGACGTATCACATATGAATAAACAATACAAGGTAAACAATACCATAAATCTTAGTGGAGGCGCTATTAATACAAATAAGGACATCAAATTTGATAAAAATACGTATGTAAGTACTATCAAATTCACAAAAAATATATTAAATGTGAAATCGATCCCCAGGTTCTGAAGCTAATATATGTAAGACAAGATGTAGGACATCATAGCTAAAGACATCCTCGGACCATAAACAAGAATAATGGTGATTCAGCACAAGGACCTTGTCCTAGATCAAAGCCCAAATTATGACAAGATTTCAATCTGGATTGTATTCAAAAAGACTAGACAATACTTTTGTTCAATTGTAATTTTAAGTTCATTATTACCATGAAAAATGATAATGAATTATCTTTTATTTATCTAATATTACGACTTGTCAATTTTTTTAGGATCATCATATTTTCAAATTAATTTGTAACATCTATTTATTTTTGGGATTAGAACCCCTAACCTCCTTAATGGAGAGTCAGTCAATGCTAACTGAGCTAAAGTCAGTTGGCATTTAAATTTTCAACATATTTAAATGTAAACATATTTCCATAAATAGAGATAGAGAAGTCATGTATTTTCATTAGCCAAATGAATTAAATTGAAAGCTATTCTTCTTCATCCTCCTATGCTCTCTCCTCACTCTCCCTCTCCCCATGAATTCTTTTGTTTTTTTCAGGTAAGGCCCAATTCCCAAGATTTCCCTCACAAATACCAAAATCAAGAGCCAATCCTCTGAATTCTCTGATCTTCACTGAAACTATGTTGTTTCTCTCTCTAGCTTCCTCTCCCAACAAACCAACTTCATCCCCTTTACCTTAAGGATGAATTCAAGGAATATATCACAATTCAAAGGCAAATTCAATAGATGACATTTAAAGCTGTAAATGCAAGACTTGACTACTATAAAAAAACTAAAATGAATGTCATACCTCCACATGCCCTGCATGGAACAGGTCAAATGCACCGTCTATGTAGATTATTCGGGCATTCGGATCAGGACTCTGCAGAAACAATAAACAAACAAAATCATGTAGCATGATGTGAATCTCAGATAGTTAATACTGAAGGTTAAAAACCGTTTAGATGCGCATGAATCCAATAGATATCAATATGAACAAGGTTTTTGTAAACAATTGACAAACATAATCAGACTAACATTCAAGGGATCAAATTATCCTAATTCATTAACAATGTAGTAAACTTGAAACACAAAACTTCAATTACCTTGAGGATGGGCAAGGAAAAATTAAAACACAAATGAGACAATGGTTGCTCAAACTCACTAGGCCTGAAAACAGCTCTTTCAGAACCTTTAAAATCAAGAAGACATTACTATCATAAATTTCCAGATGTACGTGTGGAAAAAACAGAGGTACCAACATGGTTACGAAAGAAATTGGATATGCATCAAATTTCTAAAACAACTCATGCTGGGTAATATCACTCAAAGTTCGGCTTATTCCGACTGAATCTGCATACTGGCCATAATGGATCTGCTCGAATCAAATCAAATTTGTGTATAGCAAATTTCTAAAACATAATCAGACTAACCATATCAAATATGTTTATAGCCTTTATTTCTTCGGATTATGAACCACTATCCAACGAACAATAATCAAAATTCTAAGAAGCAAATATAACCAATAAATAGGAAGACTTTAAAAATTGGGAAATAAGTTTCGAAGTTATTGACCATATCATCAGCTTCATTCCGAGAATTAATAAAACAAAGGAATAACACTTAAGTATAAGATTCCTTACTACCTTTCCATTTGAGAACTGAACTATGCGGCGAGATGTTGGTAGAAAATGAGATATTCGAGTTCCCCCTCGAGGAGACCCACCATCATCAATTGGGCCATGCCCATGACTGAATTGCCTTTGTAAGGATGAATGTGTATGATGATCGCCACTGGATCTCTCCCGCACACAGAGAAGCATGCGACCTGAGAAACAAAATGATATAACCAACCCATCACAGTATCAAATGGGTAAAATAATACAGGAACAAATAGTTACTTTGAAACTAAACTTATATGCTTATGGGTTCAGACTATCAATAACTTTAGAGGGCAGAACCACATTAAGACAAACCGACTGTTCTTTGTTAGCACAGAATATTAACATTAGAATAAATATATTATAGTTCAACTGAATTTAAATATTTGCTAACCAATCAAAATGCAAATATTTGAAATTCATTGAGCATGCACTAAGTGTGGGGCATTAAAGGCTATGAAGCATTCAGTGGGGATGAGTAAAATCAGAAGATCTACTACAAAATAAACATGTTATTACCAACAATATCAGTACTTGACACTCCTTCGGTTCTCTTGATCTGCTTATAGCGGCCAGCTTTCTTGGCAAGCGCATATGCATCAGTGCCATCTGGTAGCAAGCAAGGATCATCCCCATGGATAATGTAATCTATATTATACTCATTGAAAAGCCTGTTCATGAATTCCTCCGTGATAGCATAAGGTGCATCTGGGATGACCTCATCAACCCATTTAACTGCACCAACCATGATCAATCTGCCATAAGGAGTTGCACATTTAGATGTTTATACAAAACATGCCAAAGAAGGGAGAATAAAAATGAGAGGAGAAGGGTCTATTTACCCTGACACTTGCAAAAACAGATTGCCAGAAAGAAAATTTAAAAATCTATCACATGAAGTTTAATCCTCTTAGTTGTAGAACTATATTTTTACATCAAATCACCACTTCCATAGCACATAAACTACACAATGCAAAATGATTAATAGTGATCCTCATTCTATAGGAATTTGAAAGACACCATAAAATTAAAATAACAAAATACAACAACATCAAGCCTTTGTCCCACTACGTGGGGTCGGCTACATGAATCATTTTTCTCCATTGTGCGCTATTAAAAGTTAAATTCTCATTTAAATCTAATAAAAAAATGTCATGTCTAATATTTTCTAACCAAGTCTTTTTATGTCTACCGCTACCTTTCTTAACATAAGTCAAATCTAATACCTCTACTTTCCTAACCGGGTCATCGGAAGGCTGTTGTTTTATGTGACCAAATCATCTAAGGAGACTCTCTCTAATATTATCTTCCATTGGAGCTATCCCAACATTTTCACATATATGCTCATTTCATATCCTGTCTCTACGAGTAAACCACTCATCCATCTGAGCATCCACATCTCTGCAACACTTAACTTAATATAATACTTCTCTTTTAATGGACAACATTCTACACCATAAAGCATTGCACGTCAAACCACCATCTTATAGAATTTTCCCTTAAGTTTGAGGGGGACTTTTCTATCACACAACAAGCCCGTTGCATTCCTCCACTTCAGCCATCCAACTTGAATTCTACTAATAATATCCCCATCTATTTCACCATCACTCTGAACAATAGAACCAAGATATCTAAATATGTACTCTTATTAATGACTTGATCGTCCAAAGTCACAATCCCCCCACTAGAACTATTATTACTAAAATTACACTCCATATATTCAATTTTAGATCTACTCAAACAAAAACCTTTAGACTCTAAGGTTGACCTCCATAATTCAAGTTTACCTTCAACTCCCTCTCTAGTCTTATCAATTAGAAAAAAATCATCAGCAAAAAGCATACACCAGGGTACAAACTCTTGCAAATGCATCAAGAGTTAATATTAATTTAACACCTACCAATCCAGAGAGTGATGAAGGGTTCAAATGTTTATATTATAAAAGGACACAAAAGGTTAATGTACATAAACCACTATTCAAGATACCGTAGCTCCCACATAAGCATCCCGAAAAATTTAAGAACCACATGAAAAACAAATCCTAGCAATATGTTAACAAAATCATAAAACTAATTCTAGCTATGCAACAAAAATTTGCAAAGAAATATAAAAAAAATTACTTGATCATTTTTTACTCATGTTTTCTCTAATAGGGTTTAGTAAGTCGGCAATCTTTTCTTCCCCTTGCAAGCCACCTTTGATCATCCTATTAAGATTTTTTTCTCCACTCCAACTTGACTGGAGGGTCCTTGGTCACCCTCTTTATTGCTACCACAAACGAATTTGAAAGACACGATAAAATTAAAATAACAAAATATGATAACAAAATTTTGTTGTCTAACTTACTACATATCAAACATTTATGCAATGTTAATAATCAGAATATTGAGTCATCAAGTATTGAGAGTAGAAAATTAGAAAGAGTTAATATTAACTTAACACCTACCCATCCAAAGGGTGGTGAAGGGGTTCGAATGTTTATATTATAAAAGGACCAAAGGTTTAATGTACATAAACCACTATTCAAGACAACTTAGCTCCCCCATAAGCATCCCGACAAATTTAAGAACCATAGGAAAAAACATCCTAACAATATGTTAACAGAACAACAAAAACTAATTCTAGCTACCCAACCAAAATTTGCAAAAAAACATAAAAAGATAACTTGATCAATTCTGACTCATGTTTTCTCTACTAAATCTTTGCTAGTCAGCAATCTTTTCTTCCCCTTTGCAAGCCACCTTCAATCATCTTATTGAGAGTTTTTTCTCCTCTCCAACTTGACAGGAGGGCCCTTGATCACCCATTTTATTGCTACAACAAACGAATTCGAAAGACATGATAAAATTAAAATAACAAAAGTTTGTTGTCTAACTTAATACATATCAAACATTTATGCAGCATTAATAATCAAAATATTGAGTCATCAAGTATCGAGAGCAGAAAATTAGAAAGAGCTAATATTAACTTAACACCTACCCATCCAAAGGGTGGTGAAGGGTTTGAATGTTTATATTATAAAAGCACACAAAGGCTTAGGGTACATAAACCACTATTCAAAACACCTTAGCTCCCACATAAGCATCCCGACAAATTTGAACCACAGGAAAAAACATCGCAACAATATGATAACAGAACCACAAAAAGTAATTCTAGCTACCCAAAATTTCCGAAGAAATATAAAAAGATAACCTGATAAATTATGACTCATGTTTTTCTCGGCCACAATTTTGCCAAGCGGCAATTTTTTCTTACCCCGTGAAAGCCACCTTCAATCCTCCTATTGAGAGTTTTTTCTCCTCTCCAACTTGACATGAGGGCCTTTGGTCACCCTCTTTATTGCTACCACAAACGAATCAGAGTTCCCTCACCTTATGGAAGATGCAATGTCTTTTCGAGCACCTTTCTCCAACATATTATTTTTTTTCCTTTACAGGTTTACTTGTGGTGAGGATTTGAACATAGTACACAATGGAGGTCCTTAGTTTATCAATGGGAGACCTTTTATCCTCAAAAAATGGATTCATGGTTTTTTACCAGTCTGGGAGGATTTTAAAGATATTCTGATTTAGGTAAAACTATCCAACTTGCCCCTATGCTGATGGTCTAAAACTAGAATTTCAAAAATGGCCAGCATGATTGGCATTCCTGCCGCTTCTGGTCTGTCAATCAATCTAAGGTGACCATTGCAGGGTCAGTGTACAGATTACTACATTGTATGTTCTTCCGGATTATATCACCTCATCTTTACCGATGAAAAAAAAATTTAAAAAAAAAAATTAAAAAAAAAAAAAAAGATAACTTGATCATAAAAGAGAACCCAAGAAAGTAATAGGCAACAAGGAAAAGCAAAGAAGGCCAATTACAGGTAAACTACGTTAACTAAAAAAAGGCCTAAAGAAAGACATCACGAATTAGATCATGTGGCCATGATAGAAATCAGATCGAACATGGAATTACAACACCTAGCAGCAAAACAGAATTCATATTCCCTCATGAGCATTCATATCAGGCAATCAAACCAAAAAGAACCAACCTTTCGTTGATAGGCGTCACTGGCGGGCCCTTGTTCGCCGTGATCTCCGCATCACTAACCACACCAACGACAAGCTCGTCCCCAAGCGCGTGCGCCTGCCGAAGAGCGTTACAGTGGCCATAATGCATCATGTCAAAGCACCCGTCCATGTAAACCCGAACTGGCCTCTTCTTCCTCCTCCCTGGCAGCCGCAACCCCGCGAGCGGCGACGCATAACCAAGGTGCAGGGCCAACACAGACGCACCGATCACAATCCCTCCAAGAAGCACTGCCGCAGCGTAGCGAGAGGGTGTGAGTTTCTCAAGAACGTCACGGCACCCGCCTCCGCCGTCGCCGTTGGGCGCCATAGCAGATGAAGTGGTGGAGGGATCGGATCTAGAGTTTCTGGTCTCTAGGGTTCGGAAAGGAGTGCTTTCCAGCTCCCGCCATCGACCCTCGAAGGCATCGGAGACTGAAGAAAAAGGGGGAGGGAACAATTCAGATTCGGGTTTGCCTTTCCCTGAGATTCGGAAAATGTGAGCCGTCCAATCCACTTTTGTCGGTTCTCTCTTTTTAACCAAAGTTTTCGATGTTTTTTCGGCGGTCGCGAGTTTTATGCCCCCGCAGTATTTGGGCAACAGAGGCGATTTTCGAGCGGATTCCAAAGAGTCCGCATAGTTGTTACTCACGTGACAGTTGGCCCTATTAAATTATCATTGGAATGATTGGTCTAAATTACTTTAAATTTAAAAATAAATAAATTCACTTCAAAACTCCGAATAAATTTTAAATTAAAATGAATGGAGTTAGATATATACATAGCATGAAATACTAACATATATATCACTTTATTTCATATTATTTATATATCTAACACCCAAAATTTTAATATTTCATAACTATCACTCATATATAACTTTAATATCAAATATAATGTTGACATGTATGTTGTAACAAAAAAAATTTCATTCGTACCTATAGTGCCGAACTTGTATAATGGCAAATCCCCAAAATCTCTCAAGTCAGACATCCTATTTCATCGCCTACCCATGATCCGATGTTGCCTCTCCCACGTTCGCCTTGATTGTGTTGTCCTGCCCGACGCCTTGCCTCACTTCGTTAAATACCTAAAAAATGGGGCTTTAGATCTCTCAATCTTCTCCTGCCACTCCCGACCTCACTCTACTCCGCGACCGCAGCTCTAGCCTCGACTTCACTCCTCTAGCGATATTCCCTTCCAGATGGATCGAAAGCAAAGACAGGAGTTCACTTGATTTATGTGGGGAAAATTTTTAATGCCGCCACTCAGATTCGGTGCTCTTATTTTATAATTCAATATTGCATTGAAAATAAAGTACAGTCTCGTAAAACTGACACAATATTATACAATGAATTCAATATCAAAATAAGGTATAAAAAAATGATATTTATAAGATCAAACATAGTTTAAAGAATAATATATTATCTCGAAAGATGAACATGAAATTCTATAGAATATATTTAAAAATAAAAATATGGTTTTTTGATAATTTTATACACTCTTTTGATTAGATATAACAAGGAGAATATTATATCATCTTAAAAAACGAACATAACATTCTTCAAGACATCTAAAATCAAGAATATGTTTTATAAAATTCATCATTTCTAAAGTTGAATATAACCAATATAATATTATATTACCTTAAAAAATAATAATAATATTCTACATGCATATTTAAAATTAAAAATGAAGTTTTTAAAAGATATATGTGTTCTCATATATTTTTTCCTTATTTTATAGGAATAAAATAAGGTTTATTTTAATCTGAAGTTCTCAAATCCATATATGAGCAAGCCCGTATAGTTAATTATATGTTAGGATGGATGCTCTTAAAAAACTCTTGATTAAAGCAGCAATTTCATGCCCTTTGATTACAAAGTAAAAGACAAGAAAAGAAGTATGAATTTTACAAAAACAAAGCTCAATGTTGAACATTTATTAACGAGTCAAAGAATGAAAAATAGGAGGTGTCAGATTCTGATAAGCTTAAAGGCAACCTCAGTCTCCTATCAACTAAGGCCTTTCAAACCCTGGTCTCCTGCCAACTACAGTCTTCCAGACTCCTATCTCCTGTCGACTACGGTCCTCCCGACCTCTGTCGCCTACTACGGTCTTTCCGACATCCATCACCTACTATGATTTTTCTGACCCCGGTCTCCTACCGACTACGATCCTTCCAACCTCCGTCGCCTACTATAGTCGCTCCGACCTCTCTCACCAGACAATGGTCTTTCAGACCACGGTCTCCTGCCAAATACGGTCTTCCAGACTCCTATCTCCTACCGACTACGGTCCTCCCAACCTTTATGGCCTACTATGGTCACTCCGACCTCCATCACCAGACAACGATATTTCAGACGGTCTCCTGCTAACTACGGTCCTTCCGACCTCCATCATCAGACAACGGTCTTTCAGACCACGGTCTCCTACCGACTACGGTCCTCACGACCTATATCGCCTACTACGGTCCTTCTGACCTACATCGCCAGACAATGATCTTCCTGCCCCCAATCTCCTACCAACTACGGTCTTTCGGACCCCCGTCTCGTGCCAACTATGGCCCTTCCAACCAAACAAACATGTATATTATTATAACTCCCACTATGTAATGCGCTCTATATGATATACATTTGTACCATCAAGCCAAGGCCTTCTCCCAAGGTAGGGCCTCATTTGTAATCGACTGCAAAGACTAGTGGATTCATTCAAACTGGGCCAGACCACGTGATTTTTCCCCCTTTTCAGGGGTTTCCACGTAAAAACTCTGATGTCTCTTATGAACGCTACACCCTCTCTCTTATCTGATTGTGTGTTGTATCTTCGTATAATACTAAGACGTTAAACTATATATTTTCTCTACCGCCGCGAATACTCCGGGACGCAACAATATCAAAATGTAATGATGAAAAATAGTATTTTATGGCATTTCATTCTTCCCAAAGACCCATGCATCTTTCTAATATAAAGCATACAACCTCGATTCACACATTCTTGAAGATTGAAAAATAAAGCCCATGTAAATTTAATGTATTTTGATATATGCATATGATCTATTAGATATACATGTATATACTTGAACAAACTCTTTTCTCGGTTGAATGCAATTTAGGCACTTATACAATCATGCGATGGAACTTATCCAATCCTTAAGGAAATAATATTTAGTTCTTCATCATGCTAATGTATGATATCAATGACTAAGATAATGTTTCTTTGAAATTAATATAATCAAAATAAAAGAAGCTTATATTTTCTTTCTATTTGACTCTGCTACACAAGTTAACATATGAGGACAATCTTATTTGTATCATTCATTTAGCTTCATAAGATCTTTTATGCAATAGAGTGGCAACGAGGATGCCATGGATATTGCTACACTCATTATCATGTTATTGACTAGAATGAGAAATTCATAAGTAAATTTCAACACATTATATTTTATCACGACACATAATAGCTATTAAGCAAGCCATGAAATCCCTATGATTATATATTCCACATATCTTGAGTAAAAAAAAGGTAAAGAGAGCGAGATCAAGGTCTAGAGGTGGAATCGAACCGGTCAGAATTACAACATGTCTTTTCAAGATTAGGGGATCATCAGCTACATCGTGCGGGAGAAAGGATTTCGGCTGTTGGAAACGGCGGCTTAAGGCAAAAATAGGTCGGAGCCCCTTGCACATGAGAGAAAGGGAGGAAGATAAGGGTTTTGGTGGCTTGGCTAGGGCTTACAATGGGGCATCAGTAAAAAGTCTATATATGTTGTTAGCCATATGCAATTGTTCCAAGGCTAACCAAGAGGGGGATGAATTGGTTATTTAAAAACTCTTGGTAAATTATAGGAAAACCATTTAATAATTTTCACAATTTAATTTTCTTTAAAATAAGTTTTTCAACCACAATAACAAATTGCTGAAAATAAAATACATAAATAGAAAAAAAGAGAGTAATTTAGAGTGGTTCGGTCAAACAAGACCTACGTCCACTCGTAAAGATTCCCACTTCAGGTATTGTACTATTACGAAAGTGACTCTCATTTTGCCCCCACAATAAGGTGGAGAATTTTTTACAATTTTCCTCTCTTCCACCAATCCCCAGTGCAGTAGAGTATTATTGTCCTTTCACACCCTCCAAATGTCGGCAGAGTTTCGTCATCTTTTCACACTCTCTAAGCGTCGATAGAGTATTGTCATCCTTTCACACCCTCCAAGTGTCGGCATAGTACCATCATCCTTTCACACCCTCCAAGAGTCGGTAGAGAACTGGATCTTCTCCAAAGATCTCTCGAGCAACTGAAAAAAAAAGGAAGATAATTGACATAAAATCAAAATAGATTCTCACCTTTAAATAACCTTGTGATCCTTTACACTCTACTTGCAAGAACTCTCTCTCAAACACTCTCCTAAATCACCATTTTACTTGTTCTTTAAGAAATCATGAAGATTAGATTCATCCAAGTCAGTTTCCAAGGACATTTAATATGAAAGACACAAAAAATCATCAACAAAAGTAAAAATTTTAATTTTAAGGATCAACGATTGTACAGTTTGATCAATACTTATCCTGGACAAACAGTTCAAAATTTACTCGTACGATCCTACGCAGACTATTTTCGTACAAACTTTTTGTATAGTATGAAATTTACTCGTACAAGCCTATGCGGACTATTTTCGTACAAACTATTTGTATAGTATGATATGTATATCGTACGGTACAAATAATTATAAGAAATTTCCTATTTGTTTGGACAAAAATATTCCCCAATATTCCATACTATATACTTCATCTGTACGAGCTCTAGATCGTCTCGGATGAATAGTTCAAAAAATTTACCTATTCATATGGACAAAAATGTTCCCCACATTTTTGTACTCTGAACTCTAAATCGACTCGGACGAGCAATTCAAAAAATTTACCTGTTTATATGGACGAAAAGGTTCCCAACATTTTTATACTCTGGACGTCGTTTGTACGAAGCCAACTTCATACTATACGAACAATACTTAAAAATTTTTTTCTGTCCGTACTTTAATTAACTGCTTGTTGGAGAAAATAATTGAACAAATTGTCTCGTATGAAATGAAATCGTACAATATGATTAGTTTAAAAATTTACAATTTTTAACACTCTCCCCGTGTGTGTGTACGATTACTCAATTATAATAAATCTCTCTCTCTCTCTCTGAGACTCAATAAAAGTGTAAAAAAATAGACTCCAATTACAATGAACCCTATACAAATCTGACTTGAAATTTTCAATTATCTTAAGTATGATTTCCCTGAAATATTAGTACTCACAACAACAAAAGCAATTTATACAATTTATGTTAGGAGAAACAGTTGTCAAAATAATAATATTTGAAATCATCAAAAACATATATGATATGAAAAATATAGTTATGAAAACTAACTTGCAAAAATCTCCCCCTTTTTTATGATGTCAAAATAATTCTTATTTGAGTTAACATTTAAAAAAAAATAAATCTCTTTAGCTCCCCCTAAATGAATGACCAATATAAATTTAAGGATTCCCATGAAGATGAAAAATCTTAAACCAAACAAAAAAAATCAATGGACAAAAATCAAAAAATAAATTCGAGTAAAAATATGAACAAAAAA